CCCACTGTTCTTTAAAATCACAAATATTTCAATAAAGTAAATAAATATAATATAATGAAGAAAAAATGTACACTTAAAACATAAATAAAGGTAAAAACAGTAAAAAGTTCTTCTTAATTAACACTCAATTAGTTCATTTTACTTGTTCACTATATTTTAAATATATTTTTATTTTTATTTACCACTTTTAATATATCAAAAAAAAATTATAATTTTTTTCTTTCATATTTTATCCTTGACGAAAATGACTTATTTTCTAAATTATTTTTCATGATCTAAAACCATACATCAAAGTAGTAGTGAGCATATAAACTAGGTTAAGGAACATACTCTATCTCTTTTATTTTCTTTATATTTACATTTTTAAATATGGGTACTATAATCAAATACTCAAAAAAAAAAAAAAAAGTAGACAAGTAAAACTGAAGAAGACACAAGGTATTAATATTTATTTTTTTTTACCCTTCTCCTAGAGCTTTTACTTTTCCTCTATTAATAATTCGAACTCACAATCTTAAATTTAAAAATAAATATGCTTAACATCGAAATAACTCCCGTCGTCAGATAGGATACAAACACAAGGTGAGTATAAATGACAAAAGAAAAACTTTGGGAAAGGGAAGTGAACCAATGGAGAATTTCTTCAACTATTTCAACATTAAACTACACAAACATCATACTATCATGTCGTATTCATGCCTATATTTTTTCTATAAATATTATTTCCCCTCTTTGCTGGCTTCTTTTCATACGGAGATACCGATGCTCTTTTACTCCACCATTTTCCTCTGGTATTTCTATTGATTTTTTTTTTTTTACTATTAGCTGCCCAAAACCATGTATTTATACAAAATCACACAAGGGAAGCAGTTCTGTATCTGAAGTGGAAATGGTACTAGTTACCTTTACATGGAGCCATGGTGGTACTCATGTTTTTCTCTGCGGTTCCTTTGATGGGTATTTTTCATTTTTTTCTATTACAACTCCTATTTGATGATTTCGCAAAGTGCACTCTACATGTTTGATGTTATGTGCCTACTAACAGCTGAGAGATTTTTGGGTGGTGCAGATGGAGTGAGCAGATACCGATGAATTTGGTGGAGGATTCTGCTGCCGTTTTTCAGAGGACTGTTGATCTTCCACCAGGATATCATAAGGTATTACCTAAAGTTTGTGTGATGATTGTGTGTATTGAGCTATGATTCCGTGCCAATTAGACCTAAAAATTGAAAGAAAGGGTTGTATGGTGTCATTTTTGTCTTAAGTAGTGTACGCGAAGAATAGATTCACCTTTGTCATATAGTATAGCTGCAGGGGGCTAATCAAGTTCATAGAGCTAGAATTGTGGTATTTGTAAAGAAATGGATGAACAGGAAGAGTGTTTCAAGAATCATGATTAGCTTTATAATTGTAGTATAGTGGTGAGTATTCCCTCCTGTTACTTGGGTGACCCGGGTTTGATCCCGGCAACGGCGTGTTTGTTGTCTTCTGAGCTGAGGGTCTATTGGAAACAATCTTTCTACCTCACAAAAGTAGGGATATAAAGTCTACCTACATCGTACCTTGGGTCTTGTGGAATCACACGGTGTATGTTGTTGTTTTTTGTGTTAAGTTGCAGGCGAGTTAACTGATATGAATGCTCCCCCACCCCCCCCCCTTTCAAGTTAATCTTTTGTTACTCCTTCACAAAAGCTATATGTGGGTTTGTTTTCTGTCATTTCGACTTGAAATCCTCTGGAGGTTGCGAAGCAGATTGTAACTTCTTCATTTGCTGCAACATGTGCCTGTTGAAAAATATCTTACTTATACAAGTAGGTAAAAGCTGCATATGGTTTCTGAAAGCCAATAACGAGGAAAGCTAAAGCTTAAATGCATAACTGCCTATGTCGGAAGGATCAACCACATCTTCTTAAGTGAACAATGTAACCTGTTTTGGGGGATTTCATCTTCAGGCTTTAGACGTGTACTTTTGAAGTTTGTAATTGCATATTTCTCCCAATTATGTTGTAATGGCATAAGAAGGTTAATTTGCTTCCTCCGTACGCTTTCAAGTTTCTGTCATCTCTGGAACAGTGGTGTGTCGTCGCAATGCAGCAACACCAAAAGAATTAATCTGAGTCAAAATTAAACTTGGGCTGCTGGTTTCATCGTCTGAGGCTTCTGCTTTCATGTTTTAAGCTTGTTTCTGGCATAATAGTCTTTTCTCATTTACGATATGACAGTTCTGTATGTTTCACTATCCGTCTTTAGGTTCTGAAAAATGATGAAATCATAGCTAGTCAGTAATCAGTAGCATATCCAAGCAACAACAATGATTATTAGGTGTTTTTTTCAAAAAAAAAATTTGATGACCAAGGTACCTCGCACGAGGTAGCGGCAAGGTCTGCGTACACTCTACCCTCCCCAGACCCCACCTAGTGGGATTTCACTGGGTATGTTGTTGTTGTTGTTGTTGTTGATGACCAAGGTGCTTTTTTTCAATTGCAATCAGATCTAAGTGCCTTAGCCTTTATAAAGTGGATAAGTGAGAACCAATTCTCAACCTACATTCTTTAAGGGATTATAATGTGGATGATTGATACCCATTTGTCACCTACATTGCTTACTCCCCCCTTCACAGTTAAGCTGATTTGAAAAGATAATATCAACATTAGGAAAGTAAATTGAATTGTCTAGCTTTAATTGGGTGGGTAATAATATTTCAAATAATAGCTAAATGTGTAGAAGATGGAAGGTGAGTTTATTGGATAGTAGGTCAAGGCTGGAAAAACACAGGTAGTGTTACTTCTCATTAATTTGAGTTCTGGAGATGGGGAACTTGGTATTTTGGAATTGGTCAAATGAATTGGATGGATTATAACCAAAAGTGAGTTAACTTAATTGAGACCAAGTGAGTACTCCAAGAGATGTGCCATTACTCACTGTGATCCATCTTACCGTACCCTGTACATTTTTTGTGTTGTGCATTTTAACTGCCTCTAAGAAGAATCGATGTGCTTATTAGCATCCATGTATCAGCAAATAGTAAGGCATGCAGATTTAGTATTACTGTACCGGCATTGGTTTTTCTCTTGATAATGATTTTTCATGTCTAAAACTCCCGAGGATTGTGGTATTCTTTGATTTTGATGCTTTGGCTGCTGTGTTACTGATCCAAATTTGTATCTAATATGTCTATTCTGGTAAATAGTTTGATTTTCAGGACCATCCTTGTTTTCTTAACAAGCTAAGCATTTAGCAAATTTACCTCTTCATAAGAGAGGAGTATCATGAAATTTTACATTATTGTAGCTCTTACTGATCGTATTATACATGCACAGCCACACCTGCTTAAAATAAAGGAAAGTGCTCATTTTGTACGGAGTTGAATTTACTGGCTCCAAATGAACTATGCAGTACAAATTCTTAGTTGATGGCATCTGGCAAGTTGACCAGGACCAGCTTTGTGTTCAGGATGAGTATGGTGCAATCAACAACTTAGTATTTGTTAAGGAATCGGTTTCCATGCCTTCTACCTTAATAAGAGAGGATGCTCAGTCAAAGTTGGTCTCAGGTTTTACTAGCAGCACACATCTAGAGGTTAGTGCCAATCAGAAAGAGTTTCTTACTTGATATGGTTCATGACCCAGTTTCCTTTTCCGTCCTTCATTCTGACAACTACTCATAATGATTTCATCCGACCATTTTCCTTCACATTTTAATTTCGCATTATCTCTTTGTCATACCAACCAGGCTTCTTCTTCAAGCGAGTCACAACTTAAACCAGTCATGCAGTTAAACAATGAAATAGATGTTTCCCGCCATCGTCTATTAATGTTTTTGTCATCTTCCCAAGCATATGAGCTGATTCCAAATTCGGGAAAGGTTTGGAAGTCTTTATGTATGCTTTCCCTTATATTGTGCCTTTACTTAATAGTAACTCTAATTAAATTTACTGACTACCTAATTGGTGATTTTTTGTTGTAGGTCTTTGCGTTAGATACTGAAGTGGCTGTGAAGCAGGCTTTTCATATCATGTATGAACAGGTATGGTTTTCTATGGACACTATTGATTCTCTTCTTGGCTCCTTTTGCGTGTCAGAGACACCTTTGTCCTCAAGGTCAAGGTTGTAGCTAACTATAAATACTTGTTCAAGCAAATTCTGGAAGTTGTAAGTTGTCTTGGAGAAAAGAATATCAGTTAAATTCAAATTATACATTTCAAGTTTGGACTTGATTAGTAAATCAACACAAGCAAATATTTTCTGCACTTTATGAAGACTATTTTAATATATTGGATAAAATGCATGAAGGTTTTCTACAATGATTTTACCATGCCCTACTACTAGACCTTCAAATGCACCGGTTCGTAAATGTTTCACTATGATGATTGAAGGTATTTGATAAAAGAAAGAAATTTAATTTACAAGATACTATCTCCACGAGATAGTTGGTAAGGTCTGCGTACATTCTACCCTCCCCAGACCCCACTTGTGAGATTCCACTAGGTATGTTGTTGTTGTTGTTATGTTCCTATATTGGAGGTTGTGGAAGTGTCTAATATTCATTTGTCAATTTTTCTCTGTTATGGCCTATGGGGATATGAGTGTCTTTCATTTAGTCCGCTGTGTTCTAGGTAATCTATTCCTTGGTTTAGTATCATTGAAGAGAACGTAGGAAATCAAAAATATTATTCAGTGCTGGCAAATCCTGCCAAAAAAAAATGTCCCTGTATATTTGGCAGGGCATTTATGCAATTGTGTCAGTTGAAAAATTCTAATATTCAGTAGGAGTTTGTGCTATCCTACTAGCACTAAGAATTATATTTCCTTGTCTTTAGTGATTTATTTTGTACTTTTTTCCTCCATTCAAGTTCCATTTTGATTTTGTTTTATGCTTGGAATTTCTTGAACTTAACTAGCTGAATATATGTTCAGCGACTTGCAGTGATGCCTCTTTGGGATGGACAGAATGCGATGATTTCAGGAATGCTTACTGCTGCTGATTTCATTTTGATCTTGTTGAAGGTACTTTTAAATTGCTAAGCAGTGCTAGCAACAAGTTTAGAATTCTTTATCTATGAGTGGAAAGTGCTGAAAATTGAACCAAAGGTGATTATTCTTTGGCTTGCCTCTGAATATCTTAGCATCATAATCCATGTTTTTAGTAAAACCTCAGAAACTCACTTTTTATATGGCTAATAAGTTGCTCGTCCACGGAGGAACCTAATCCCCCTCCCCCCTCCTTTCCTCGTCAAGTATTTGGTCATTCAAGTGCATCAAATAATGGAGAGTGAATCATATCGATCAGAGTCAGGCTTATTTTTTTAAATTAAATTTTTTAAACAAAGTGACTGTCTATGTTCATTGAGGATTATAAACCTGCTGATGAATGTTCCTTGCATTGTATTTATGGGGAAAATCGATATAGTAAGGTTTAAAATCACAAGAAAATATTGCCTTCTGAATTCCATCTACTATGTATAACTTTGTGTAGTTGAATCCTCCAATCATACGCCTTTGACCTTGCAATTGTAATGTTTATTGGTCCTTAGAATTGTTGTTTATTACATTAGTGCATTATCTATTACACATCTATGCTTCTTTCTTATATGTCACACCTAAGGTTTTACTATTTTTGCAGCTCCAGGAAAGTCATCCAATGCTGACCCATGATGAGCTTGAAATGCACACGATTTCAGCTTGGAAATATGGAAAGTTCCAATTGCAAGCAGAAGTGTCAGGAGCTATGATACCTCCAAACAGAAGAGTACTGCAAGTATGTAATCGTTCATTTTGCTGGAGTTTTAGTTAACTATCTTTCTTTTCTAATTGCTATGTGGAATATTAATATTTTTTTTTGTTTATAACGACACTCCCTGAAGTCTTGGTGGTTTTTTTTTTTTTTTTTTTTTTTTTCCATTTTTTTAATCATATTTTTAAGATA